GCTGTCCTCCAGATCTCAATCATAGAATCATAGAATGCTTAAGGTTGGCAGGGACCTCTAGAGGTCATCTAGTCCAACCCCCTGCACACGCAGGGTCACCTAGAGCACGTGGCACAGGACTGTCATGCTTTATCAGCAGTGCTTGCACAATTAAAATTTCAGCTTGCTTTTTAGCACATGAGATTGAGCCCACAGCTAATACTCCTTCCTCTCAACATACTGGCAGCAGACAAACACACCCTGGAAACAAGCAAGTTTGAGAATGCTAATAGCAAAATAATGCAAGTCAGCACAGCGTAGACTACAGGGCATCAGTCTGCAAAGAGACAGGTGACACTGATGCACTCGGACGGCGCTGAGCCTGATTGCAGCCACGTCACCGTTTGCTCTGTGGCACAAACACACGCTGCTGTTGATGTAGGGCTGCGGGTGCCCCACTGCGAAGCCTCTGCTACCACAGCTGCCAGGTAGGATTTGATTCATCCTCTTCTATTTCGGCAGCTCAACAAACCAAAAAGCAAGGGCACTTAAACCTGTTCCAGGGCTGAGTCTTCCATGCCTGAGGTACCTAAGCTAGACCTGAACAAGAAAGGCCAGGAAGCAGCAGCTGTCCAGCAGCACAGACCGGGCTATGCTGTGGGCAACCCTAACTTGTCACCATAACCCCACCAGGTTCCTTGGCGGTGAGATCAGGGCTCTCAGCCAGACTAGTGTACCTTGTTCAGCAGTCTGAATGCCAGTTGTGACATTAGTTTAATCAGCTGTACCAGAGGGCCAAGAGAACCAAATGGAGCATATAGCAAAGGCAATAAGTACAGAACATATAGCTTTTCTTAGTTGCAGAGAGATCAAACTCAAGGTACCAATGAAACTGAATCCAGACACATGGATCCATTCAAGTTCCTTCCAAATCAGGTCCTGATGGTAGCAGGGGCTAAGTAATCTGCAGAAATGCACCCAGCATGGTCAGAAGACAACCAACAATCTTTGAAAATGCATCTTCATTCCTCATCCTGGCACTCAGCTCAAGTCTTCAGTCACTGTGAAGTTGCCTGAACAACACTTACCAAGCACAGCCTGCCATGGGATCACCACTTCATCTCAATCTTCACTTTCACAGGACCAGTTTAACAGGCCCTATCAGCCTTTTAATATCACAACATAGTTCTATCTAGTTTCTAAAGATAGTGCTTCATACAAGGTTTGAACAGAGCATAATTACGCTTTTTTTTTTGGCCCTAGCTGTTTCCTCTATGCATATGCTTATTAGTCTTCACCCTTCTGGAATTCCTGCAGAACAAGTTTTAAGTGGCAGTGCTACATTTTTAACCTTTTCCTAACCCTTGCACGCATTGATGCAAGTTTAGACTGGAATCAGGCCCTTAATCTTGTTAGCCTGGGACACACTGCTACTGTTAATTTTTGTGAGAACTGCTCCCCTGTGCTAGCCCAGGACATAGCCCCACTCAGACCAGGCACTGGTTTGCTCAAGGCAGGAGAGCAGGGGAAACAAAAGAAACTATCCCAGGCACCTGATAACCTGCAAGGAGTCCTCCTTTGCCAGCTTTAGAGATGCACTTAACACTGAAAAACCTTCCTTAGCTATACACATACCCTGACACCAAAACCACCCAACAGCATTAAACCAAGGTCCACCCTTAAAACAAACCGACTCTTATTGTGCACTTTTTCCTCCCCCCCAACACACACACACTGCTGTTTTTCTCCAATCAAATGCCTTTTTCGGAAGGTCAATATAGATTAGAGAGGTGCAATTATAAGCACACAGAACTGTACTTTGAAACTCTGTTCAGCCTGCCACAGAGAGGTACCATCTTCTTAAAATGAGCACAATTAAAACTGAAGTTTGCTAATTGATAAGGTTTTGAGCTTATAAAATTGCTAAGCAAATATTACTTTGGACTCTGTTAGATGTTTGACATTCTACATGTTAGAGGGGATTAGGCAGGATTTGATCATATCTGATTTGGCTATTTATTGTATTCTGCTGTTTTGACTGGCACTTCTAGTAAGTTGGCATACCAAAAATTTTCCACACAGAGGACTGATATAAGCAATAAAGAATTCATCAGACTAAACATATTATAACTTGACAGCAGAAGTCTCTCATAGCAGAATAAGGATGACTAGGACGAACACTACTTTCAAGTGCAGACACGTTTGAGTCTCTAAATAAAAAGCTGCGTTAAAAGCCAAGTTTGACACCCATGGAGCACACTACTACATAAGTCTCTGTTAACAACCAAGGCATTCTGTTGCTAAAGAAATTCCACAAAGAAAACTGAGTGTATTGTGCTGTACATCCAAAGCCCACAGACAGGGATTTTCCTTTTCTGCTAAGCAGACAGAGCTTCCAGCCTGGGGCCGTGCCAGCTGCCAAAGCAAACGCAGCCACAGGGATTACCCGGGCACAGCTGGAGACCAGGCAAGCTCCAAGGCTCAGCTCTCCCAACCCCATCAGCTGCACCACTGCCTTGCACTCCTCCGTACAGCCACAGGCTGCAGGAAGTGCTTGTCCTTGCTTGATTTCATGCAACAGCATACAATGACCCAATTAAAGGAGAAATGAAGTCATTTAGGAAACACAGACCGATTTCACCGTTAGAACAGCTACCACCGTTACAGAAACGGCAGGAAGTGGAGTTGCACAAAAGCTCTGCTTTCATTAGAAGGACTATGTTCCCCATGGCCTCAGGAAAAGCTGAAGCATCCCAGCACCACCGTTAGAAGCCAGAAGAGATGAAGCCAAGACAATGCAGTGTGGAGAAAGGCAATCTGACCTGTTCATCTCCTACATTTGAACTCAGACTACAGCAGTGTCCCTTGTCAGCAAAATCCTGCACTTAGCAAGACTCCGCTTCCTCTTGACCACGCTGTGTGCAGAAAGCCTGCAACAGCACCAAGTTTCACTGGAGAACCAGAGGCCACAGAGACTCTGCCCTCCTGTGAGGAGCGAACAGTCAGGTAAACCACACAGGCAGGAGCAAGAAGATTGCCCTTGGAGGAACAACAAGGGGGCATAAAGGTTCACTGAGACAACAGAATATACATACAAGTGTAAGGAAAGAAAGTGAGCATGCAAGAGAAGAGATAGTAATAAACAAAGGACAAGGAATAGGAACAGCAGCAACAAGTTTAGCCCCACTAGGAGATAGGAGCACTACGAGATAGAAGGACTCACACAGATGAAATGAGCAGTTTGACAGAAATAGTCATCTTCAAGAAGTCCCTCTCTTTTTATCGGTGTTTTGGCTGGGAAGTTTCAACATGCCCTTGGGCCTGTAACCAGTCACAAAGGATGATGAGAGCTACAGCCAGCAAAACTAAGTCCCCACGCATAAAGCTTAAGCACAACACAGGGAGGGAGGCAGCTCTGATCCGAACAGACCCTGAAGAGAACAGATGGCTCCCTTCAACGAGAGGCAGCTTCTAGGAAGCTTAACAAAGATGCTGCAGGTCTGCTCGGGGCCCAGCTGGCCGAGCAGCTGGGGGGCACTCAACACTACCCTTCCAGAAGGGATCAGCATTGACCTCCCTGGGTCAGCAGCACGAAAAGAGCTGCTGGATTACACAGTCATATCATTAACAGGGCTCAGGCAGAGACACCACTGTCAGTTCAGCAAGAGGGACATGCTCAGCAATACCCACATCTCAACAGCACTTGTCAGCAGGTGATTTTATTACATAAGAAAGCTCTGCCACCTGGGTCAGAGCCTATCCAGATTGTACGTTTTAAATTCGTAAAGCTGAGTATAGTCATACTGCTCATTACGATTCCACGCAACAAACCTCAAGAGCCATCTGCTGTTTTCTTTGTCTCACTTATCTCTGCTTCTAACAGGCAAAAGTCCTTCTCACCTGCTCTAAGACACATGGCTGTAAGTATATAATTATTTTTCAAAACAGTCTGAAGTTTAAGATGACTCACTGCCCATTCTCACTGTTCTACCTCTGCCAAGATCTGGACTCTCAAAACATTGCTAGCAAGCAGAACACATCCACACCAGGTGTGTGCACATCAATACAACAGATGAGAACTGGACATAGCTGTCAGAAAAAGTTCATGTTGCTCCATCACAAAAAGGAAACTTATTCTTTACATAAAGAGAAATCAGCCATACACCTCTCAGCCATGGGCTATTTTTCAGGAAGCATTAGCTTGAACATTGCCAAAGCTCATTCTTCATTTGAATGATGGGCAATTTGGAAAAAAAACACTGCTGGCAAGTGGGAAGCTTATTATAGCAAGAGAATAGAAACTCCATCAGCCTCTGCAAAATGGAAATACCCTTTAAGAGGGCTTTAACCCTCATGCTGGAGACAGCACTCTGCCTGCCCAAAATGACCTTTGGAAGAGCAAATCAGCCTCCTACTCTGCCTGTTTCAGAGTTGGCTGGCGAGTAGAACATGGGGAAAAATCTGTGTCCAAGTGTGGGGGAAATCTAATCCAGTCCACTAGCTTTACTAGCTTTAAGTGTCCAGCATAAGCTAGCCATGTACCAAGTTAAACAGGGGTGCTGGAAACCCAAACACACCAGGTGCAGTGTGCCCAGGTGAAGGCCCTGCCTTCACCTCTGCCTGGAGCCTATGCCCAGCCCACCCTGGCTCAAAAGGCAGGGCAGCTCCTGCCCTAGCTCACCCCACCACCGCTTTTCCAGCTACCAAGCTTTGTTACTCATTAATCAAAGAAAATTCAACAGCAGCAGCAGCACCTTGGCCAAGCAAGGCCGACAAGCACAGGCAGAAATGCGTTCTTGTGCTGGTACAGCAGGACAGCCATGAGGAAACACCCCAAACGCTACTCGGCACCCGAGCTGACAGTATCTGAAGAGACCTGGCCTGGCCCGAGCTCATCCCGCGCTCCCGCTTCCACGGCGGGAAGGCAGCGCTCGGGTCTCGGCGGGATTTCTCGTGCTCCCGGCGGGTCCCCGCACCCTCCTCGCGCGGGGACCCGTCCCCCCGGGCAGGTCGCGGCTCACCGGCGTGCGACATGGGCAGCACGTCGTTGCCGGTGCCGCGGTAGTTGTAGATGACGGCGCCGGCCGCGCCGCGCGCCGCCGCCAGCCGGATCTTCTCGGCGAAGGGGCAGCCGCGGCCGCGCGGGG